AACTACCCAAAGTGTCGGTCTAAGGATCCCGAAGAATCCGCCGAACAAATCAAAGTAATTATTAATTAATAAAAGAGTCTATACTTTTCTCATGCTTAAGAGTCAAATGCCATGACGGTGATAGGGAGTAATTGCATACGACGGCTCTCGCAATATATCTCAACCTAACGCAGATCCAGTTCAAGTCTTAATTAATTATGAGCCCATCCATAATTACCGACTATGAACAATTTATAATTACTATTTATATATCATGCATTGATTGTCATCACATACATATATATAAATATTTCTTGTAATTACATGGACACTATCAATTTCATAGTGAATTGAAACATAATACATTGAATTCACCAATTATATAAATCATAAATATTTCAGATATGTCAGGAACATATGTCACTATAATCCAGATAGGAATTTGATATGTCAGGGCATATAAATCCCAACAGCTCCCACTTGCCCTCATAGCCAATTCAAATTGCACCTAACTCCAATGTTATCCAGATGATGATCAAAATTATTGATCAATGACACCTTTGATAATGGATCAACAAAGTTGTGTTCCAATGCAATGTTCTAACTACAAGTGCATTTTCTTGCCGAACAATATCATGTAGAACATGATACTTCCTCTCAGTGTATCTTGTTCCTCTATGGAACCTTGGGTCATTGGTTTGGACTACTTCTGCACTATTGTCACAACATAGCTCAATAGGTAGGCTAGTATACTCCACAACCTCTAAATCAGTGAGATCAAACTAATAGGCTTCCTTTGCCGCCTTTAAGGCTGCAATATATTCCACCTACAGGTTTGAGTCAGCAGTTGAAATCTGCTTAACAATCTACCAACTGATCTCCCTTCCATTAAGTGAACATACACTAAGTCATGAACCTCATAGTATCTACTTCTGATTGAAAATCAGAACTAGCATACCTGACTAGGACCATATCATCACATCCATAAATGAATATGATATCATTGGTTTTCCTTAGGTACTTAATGATATTTTTCACAATAAACCAGTTGTCAAGTCCAGTATTGGACTGATCTCTACTGACTATCCCTACTATGTAGCGGATGTCCTGTTTGGTATAGACCATGGCATATATGAGACTCTCATATGCCGAAACATATTGTTCCAGTCTCATTTGCTCAATCTCCTTTGATAGTCTTGAAAAACTACTTACTAGAGAGAGCCATCCATATCAATAAAGCAAGAACTCATTCTTTGAGTTATGCATACCAACCCTGGTCAAAACTTTATCAATGTAGGATTATTAAGATAAGCCTATTTTCCTTTTAACCTGATCTTGCAAAAGCTTGATCCTAGGAATCTAGCTTACATCTTGAAAATCCTTCATTTAAAAGTAATTGAACAACTACCTCTTTATTGATGACAAAACTTCCACATCATTCTAAATGAGTAGGATGTCATCAATATATATAGAATTAGAAAAATAATGACATTCCCTTGTACACTCATGATTTATTCACTAAGAAATCTTCTGGTATCTTTTTATAGATTAACTTGCCTTCCATAGGAATCACCCTATTAGAAAGTTCTACAAGATCCCAGAATTTATTAGAATACATAGATTCCAACTCTGATTTCATAGTAACTCACCAAAACGATCTGTATCCACATCGGTTCACGCTTCCGTGTAGCTTACTGGGTCCAACTCATGTTTAACAGGGATGTCCATAATGGTCTTACCTAAAAACATGATACTGTCGAATTGGATGATAATCCTCCCACTACATCAATGTACCGATGCAAGAATCTGTGTAGTAGATGATGCTAACGCATCAATAGGGAATTCATATATTATTCTCAATCTCTATAATAAGTGTGTTCACATGTGGTACATCTGGTACTCATACCAAATTCTCTAACATTATGCTACTAGGTATGTGATTCATAATATGATTCTCCTATAGATAAACAGTGAGTGAAAACAATCAACTTTTATCTTTGAGATCATAAAATAATCCGTCCTAGTGACCTTTAGAGTAGCTATCAAATCTATCATACGTATGATCTGTTTTCAACTTACTTGTCCATATCAAGCGCACATGTGCAAGACTACCCCATATGTGCATGTGATTCAAATTAAGATTTAGTTAAAAACACAGCTCAACGGTATCCTTAAGACAGACTAAGATGGAATGCAGTTCATAATGCGCATCGATGTCATTAACGCTAAACTCTTAAATGAAAGAGATAATGTGGCATAACTGATCATAGATCTAACCATGTTAAGTGGAATTCTGTTATTCCTTTTTGACACCTAAATGCATTTAGCGTCAATTGTGGAAAACTGGTACACAACACCCTCATTGACCATATAGTCTTTGCACTAGCCCAAGAAATACTCATATCCTCGATCAGATCGAAGTGTCTTGATAAGTTTACCTAATCTGTGCTCCACATCAGTCTTAACCTTCTCAGAATATACCAAGAGTTTAAGACTTGTGTTGCATCAGATAAACTTATCCAAAACGTGAGTAATCTTGCTTGGATGTTCATAAGACCATACGTGTCAGTGTGTACCGACTCCAATTGTCCTTTATGTCTATTTCATCTGACTGATTAAGCCCTAAGAGTTATCTATCCTTCAAAACAGGGTTCACAAGTTTGGTTTAGGCTTCCTTGCCTCACTAGGTAATTAACCTTCTTTGACCAATCTTTGAATCTCATTTTGATTGATAACAACCCAAAAATAGACATTAAAAATACAATGAGTCAGGAATAATAATTTTCCTCTTAACATTCAATCTAGAAGATGCAACATTAGTTTCTACATCCTGCAAATCTTAAGAGTTTGTGATTATAGTATATTAACCATCTTTCAATGCACCAGAAGCAATCGCATATCTATTCAATTTTATAAAACCAGTTTTACAAAATAACAACACAGTTTTTATAAACCACAAGTGAAACAAAAATTAGATTGCGTCTAACTTCTGTGCATAAAGATAGTTCTCTAATACTAATATCCTCATACTCTCTAATTTCAGATGTAATACTCCCACTGACTTAACTACAACCTTGGCATCAGGTCAAAAGATAAATATATATCTATATCATCAAGGCTTCTGGATTCCTGAAATCCGTACAATAAATTGCAAACATGTTTAGTGGCTCCAGAATCTATCCATCAGGAATTAATAGACGCAACCACATAACATGGCTCAATGATTAAATATATATTTTCCTATGCCATGTCATTGCTTAAACAGTTCGTCCTTTAGTGTTTTAGTTAGCGACAAAAGAAATAGTTTTCTTCGCCTTCAACATACACTGCCTTATTCCCTTTAACCTTTTTGAATACCTATGTTTTGTGCTAGCCTAGTCCTATTATCATCCTTCTTCTTTGTTTTGCCCGTCCACTTGGGCCTAGAAGAAGATGGTATAGACTAGGTTAGATTGATAAGAACACCCATACTCTTGATTATCCCTTCATCTGTTACCAATTCTATAAGAATATCAGCGAGTGTAAACTCAAACTGATTCCTTATTTAGTTCACTCTAACAGAGTCGAACGAGTTTGGTAACAAGGCAATAATTATGTCAACTTGCAACTTACCACCCAAGTCAGCCTTATTGATCTCCAGCTAATTTTTAAATAATAAACAATCATTTTCCAAAATTCGATTTCATACTGGAGTTCCTTAGACTATCTTGATACTATTTAAGTCTGATATAGTACTTTGGCATATTCTCTATCTAATCTCACCAAAACATCTATTTAAGTATCCTAAAGTAAATGAATTAGGTATAGGAGTATTAAATACATTTCGTACCCTTACGTTGTGAATAAAATATCTAACTTCATTTTCCAGTCATTATAAATGAGGTCCAAACACATTGAATATGTAAACAAGCAGATAAAATGGATAAGACATAAATAATCTGAATATAAATGCATTTATACAATATGCAAGGTGAATTATTAATACTGTCATGCATATTTAAAATTAAAATGAGTTTGTTAACCACATAATATAATAAATCTCAATCGAACAAGAGATCATTATTATTATTGGTGAATAATCCCTTTTAATTAATGCGGGTCCCTCAACTCTGTAGCATAATAAATCAACCAATCAATATGTCAATAACTTATCCTGTTAGAGGAGTTCATTATTACTATTGTTGAGATTCATTTACTATTAGACGAGCACTTCCATTAAAATAGTATGTGGGTCCCTTAACCACTGCATAAAAAAATCGAATAACCAATACGTCAATAACTTATTCGGTTGGCGAAGTTCATTATTGCTATTGGCGGGCAAATCCCATCATTTCCATATCTCTTAAGACAATGCCTTGTCTATCTATATGAAATGATTCCCGATTATGTTTAGCCTTTCTAAAATCACCTAGTATAGACCACTCCGTTGGGGAGCTAGCACTATTAATTTTAGATTGAGTGTATAACGTTATTAATACTCTAATGAAAAATAAAACATTAAATATCTTGTCATTATAATCTAGACTCTTTAAATCATGCGTAGGGCCTTATTTTTAAAGATCTAATTACAATGAACATTTAATATTATTATTTTCATGAGATAACCATTCTTGTAATATTAAGACTCTTCAAATCATGCGTGGGGCCTTATTTTTGAAGATCTAATTACAATGGTTTAATAACGAAGGCCATGGGGTAATGTATAAAAATCCCCGCTCCCACTCAATTTTTAATCATTCATAATTAGGGTTTTGAATTTATTCATTTACATGATATAATGTATGCAAAACGTCTTGATTTTAATCCAATTAAATTTAGAAAATATTTGGACTTAAATGATTCACTAATATTTAATTTGAGGGACACTTCAAAAATAATTTACAAAAATAATTTTTCGTTTCCCAATAAGTGGCCTCTAATTAATTAGTAATCAAATCCAATTAATTTTCATAATTTAATTAATATAAATCAAGTCATTTAATTAAATGTCATGGATCCAATGCATGAATAATAATAATAAACAATTAATTATTCCATGCATCAGTTAAATAAATAAATAACAGACAGAAGCAATTTAAATGGCCAATGGATTCAGCTTTTAACATTTAGTTACTCTAAGTATTGTACGGGCATCCTTCAACAGTCCGTCAACACCTATAGGAAGCTGGTACGCGTTAGGATAAGCAAAACGCTACTTGGAACGCGCCCGGAGGATCCTATACGCACTGGCATGCGCCTAAGGAAGCTAGTATGCATCCCCACGCGCTTGGAATAGCCATAGGCGCGTGGCACGCGCCTTCACACGCTGCCACGCGCTGGTGAAATCATTGGGCGCGTGGCACGCGCCATCACGCGCTGCCACGTGCGTTGAGCTTCTGAATGTACTGGCGCGTGAGGAACACGCGCCAGCTTTGTTCCTAAGGTGCTGATTGCACCATCCCACGCGCCACATGTGATAAAAGCTCCTATGTTGATTTAATCCAGCGGTAACTCATCAGGTTGCATAGTATGATTGTGTACCGCGTCACACCTGATTGATCAAGACTTCCAGCAGTACCTCTCGCCGCCGGCTAGCATCAAAGGTCACCGGAAAATTGCCGAAAAATACCAGAAATTAAATTAAAAAAATTTCAGAAATTAAATTAGGCCTTAAAAAATTCCAGAAAAATTCTGAAAAATTTCTAAAAAACCCTAGAAAATTCCTGAAGCCTAATTTAACCCTCTTGGACCTTCTTGAAGCTTCATAACATCCTTTGATGAAGATTACATAGCTTTAAATAAATTTACAATTTGAAATACAATGGAAAAAATTAAATTACATCATTAAACTTTCAAACGGCTAAATCAAAACCTTAATTACATTCATCCAAAGATAAAATTACATTCCAATAACCTATAAGCTTCATCCATGGCCCAAACATTCATCAACATTCATCCAATCACAAATATACATACATCATGATCATATAAAAATATACACATATGCATATATAAATTTGGATCCATGAATGATGATTTTCATAAAATCATGATCTCTAGTAATGAATCAAACCATGGCTCTGATACCACTATTGGGAAACGTGCAAGTTTTAAAAACTTTTCGAGGGATTTTGATTCATAGATCTTGATTCATCACATAGAGACAAGTTTTACGCAAAAATAAAAATATGATGTATCATTCAATTAACAAATTGAATACTTACATCAAAGGTCTGAGTAAACCTTTAAAACTTTCCTCTAAAGTGAATGTTCTCACTTATTGTAGATCCCTTAGCAAGATGCCTTCTTCTTGGATCTCCATCTTCTTGGTAATTGTTTTGCCTTTAGGAATCACTCATAAGCCTCCATGAATGACCTTGGAAAACTAGGCTTGTGGGAGCCTCCATTAGATGAGAACATAAACCCTAATTTTATAGAGAGAGAAAATAAATTCATTTTTCCTTCTCATTAAAAATCACCTCCTAAAATATACATAGACCATGTATATTTATAGGCAACATAAAAATAAAGAAAAGGAAACAACAAATCCTTCTCCATCTCTAATTCATATGTCTCAAATCTAATATGATTCCAATATCAAGTTGGGCTATGAGTGAGAATCCATTAGGCCTATTATTTTATTGGCTACAATGAATTAATAATTGGCCCGGTCCATGGACCCAATTCAATTAATTCATAAATTAATTTCTACTCCACTAAAAGAAATTAATTGAACTCCAATTAAATAATAAATAACCTCTAAGTCAATATTGCACTTTGACCCCTCTATGCATAATTAGTTATCGGATAAATAAAGCTATCAATCCGACTACTTAATTAATATATCTATTTTGGTACCTCTGATTATTTCTGGCTCGATCACAATAAAACATTTGTTTGACAAAAATAATAATTTAAATAAATAAATATATAATAAATCATTTTGTCTAAAAACACACGAAGGCCTTCGAATTTACTTTGTGATCAACCATAATCAATATAAAATAAATACAAGTATTAATGATGCAAATATTGAAAATATAACCCTCTAACTATTAATTACATAACTACCCAAAGTGTCGGTCTAAGGATCCCGAAGAATCCGCCGAACAAATCAAAGTAATTATTAATTAATAAAAGAGTTTATACTTTTCTCATGCTTAAGAGTCAAATGCCATGACGGTGATAGGGAGTAATTGCATATGACGGCTCTCGCAATATATCTCAACCTAACGCAGATCCAGTTCAAGTCTTAATTAATTATGAGTCCATCCATAATTACCGACTATGAACAATTTATAATTACTATTTATATATCATGCATTGATTGTCATCACATACATATATATAAATATTTCTTGTAATTACATGGACACTATCAATTTCATAGTGAATCGAAACATAATACATTGAATTCACCAATTATATAAATCATAAATATTTCAGATATGTCAAGAACATATGTCACTATAATCTAGATAGGAATTTGCTATGCCAGGGCATATAAATCCCAACAGCGACGACAACAAATTGATCGATCACTAAACAGAAATAAGTCCAGAGCAAGTTATGTCACAAGCTAGGTAAGAACTTCACAACTCCAAAATCTAACATTAAAGCAAAATTATCCCCTTGCTTAATTTGAACATGAAATAAGACAACGAAAACTCGGGAAAAAAAAATGTAGTTTGATCTATTTTCGTAAGGTAAAATCTAGATATCTCGTACTCTCTCAAGAAGAAAATCACTAAATTTAGGAAAATAAAATAGAAGTATCTTGGTTGCACATACTATCTTATGACCTTAGAAAAACACTTATCAGTTGTCGACAATTGAAATAATTCTCAACTCTATGTAACCAAAAGAAAATAAACTGCCAGCAAGCTGCCAATTAAGTTTATTCAAATATAATTGTATTTATCAATAAAAAAGATATGGTTTTTTTTTTTTTTTCAACTCCACTCAAAACAACAGAAACTATGCCAAATTATAAATTATGACTGCGTTCTTGTTAAGAGTTTCCTTTCTGTTCATGCATCAAGATGACAGATATTATTACCTGGTGGTTGTTGTTTTGGCTCCTTCAGTATTAAAGCATCAGTCAGAGCAGATCCTGAAACAAAAGCAGCCTCTAGTAGACGCAAAGCCTGCAAAAGAAATATATGTATATATAAATTGTCAGAGAGATGGAAAGGGACTACAATTATGAATGGAGAATACTTCTAAACATATTCCTACATCCCCCTCACACATGATTCGATCTTGCACGTGTAGGGGGTAGACAGATAGCTAGAAAAAAGTGTTCAACCCAAGACCGACATAAAATATATAAAAGAAAAAAAAAAACAATAGGTCCAGTGGAGTTAATATACCTCCTCCTCACCAATGGTTACTTCTCGTTCTACAATGTCACTGATGGGTATATTCAATTTGTTACTAAGAGATAAGCCTGAGATGGGCCAGAAAGGTGTTATGGTCAAATTGTCTGTCACCATATATTTTGACGGTCCTTTCATGAATCTCTCGCCAACTATAGCCACTGTTGCCTTAGACTTGTATACTTCATAAAGGGAAGAAACAGTTGACTGCTACGGACATAAACCTTCCTCGATGGGGATGAGCTGCTTATTGTAAGGTATTCCAGGGGCCATCTTTGGATTGACTAAAGTTGCCTTAATCTCCTCAGATATCAGGAATTCATCAACATCAAGAGCCTGGATGCTCTTGTATACATTAGCCAAGCATCCCTTCAGTGACAAACATGGAAATTCTTTAAAGACGTAACCAAGTGGAATGGTGAGAAAACTGCTGATGAGATTAGCAAAATCTTCCCTAGCTTCAACATACAATGCCTTGTTATTACATTTGTTGATGATAAGCTTCAAAGCTATCTTTGCCTCTTTATTTGTTGTGCCCATGGCCCTTTGAGATTCATCTGTGCTTCTCGGAATGAATTCTCCATGACGATTTGCAAACCTTGTTCTTTTGGCAGGTGATTCCAAGATTGTCTCAGAAAAAGGTGTTATAGATGTTAATGAACACTTGAGCATATTCAGAACCTGAGAGAAAGACCATCCATTTTGTTATTTTCATGTAGACTAAAAGAAAAAAATAATCAACTTGTTAACTAGGTACCTCATCCTTTCCTATGTTTATACTCCTCTCTTTTATCCTTCCATCCACAGGTCCAAGCTCTTTAAGCAAGGTTAAGCAAGTCACAGTGGACGTGGGCAGTACTTGAAAGTCATCTGTTATCATAAAGCATGAGGTGGGTTTCACAAAAACCCCTCCAACTGGAGGAACAGAGATACGATTTTTAACTTTCCACATAATATTTCTGTTGGCTCCACAATAGCAACTACCAGTACGGTAAGGACACAAAGTGCATTGCGGCTGCGGCACGGACCAAAATCCGCATGCATAGAACTCACAAGTATTACAATTAACAAAATCTAGTTTAAGGTTTGTGCAGGAAATTTCAGCAGCACTCCGAGGACGTAGCAGCATGTCCTTGCACCCCACACTCTGCAGATGCTTATCGTCAAGATTCTCAATACTTTCATATAAGTTGTTCAGGCAACCAATCTCCCATTTAAATGCTTGTTGAAGGATGAGTCTAATAATGTTTCCAATGGGCATAGTCATGAAGCTGAATAGAACATCAACAAAATCGTTATCGGACTCGGCAAAAACAACTTGATCCGTCTCTTCATCCACCAGGACCTTCAGACTTAGACTTTGTGAAGCTTCATCTGCCATTGCTTTGAAGCAGAAGGGAAAAAAAAAAAAAGAAAAAAAAAAAAGAAAAAAGAAAATACAGTAATTGGTAACTAAGCAATATAATTTTTCTGGCAAAATTCACTTTTTACTTTAAGCAAATGTACTGTGTGTCAATTAACACATAATATTTTATATCCACCAAAAAAAAAAAAAAAGGTCTTTTTTTTGAAGTATTATTTATCACACAATTGTTGAAGCATGCATTGGTTTAGGAATAATGCAAATTGTAAAAGAATACCCAAATATAGAACAGAAACAACATCCCCTCCTAACAAACAAACAAACAAACAAAAAAAAGGAACGTAAATAACATAAAAGAAAAGGTATAAATCAAAAATTTTCAATTTGTCATTTTAAGTAATAAAATTAAACATTACCGCTATCTTGTTGCATATTACACTAAAATTAAGAAAGTTTTTGTTTGGTGTCTACCATGTTTTTTAGCCACCTATTATTTATGCATGTAGGTGTTAGATTATTGCACCTTTTATTTATTCCATATTTTGGACGGTATTTTGGTCTTTTTGCCTTTCCATTGTTATTTAATGGACGAAAAGTCCTTATTTGCACACTTTACATACTACAAGGGAGTGATTTGAACGTAAAGGGTGTTATTTGCACACTTTTCAAACTATAAGGGAGTTTTTTACACTTCACCCCTAACTAATTAGTATACTTCTTTCCATTCAAAGTCAACTAAGGAACTCTTACTCAACCTCAATCCAGGTACTCGTCGATTAGCCCTTGATGGTGAGGCACGCATCGGACTAGAGCTTGACTAGATTATTCTCGATCTTAGATATTTCAGCTTATCGAGTGACTTATGTTATGAAGTGCGTGCCTTGAAATGAGAACTGGACATTTTTAGCTATATTGGGATATTTGTGGATTTATTTTTATGATTTAATATATTTATTTAGTTGATGGTATTAATTTCTGGACTTTTTTTTGGATGGTTGACGATGATTTTGGATGTACGTTGGATTAAAGTTTAGATATTTGGACAAGATGTTCTAGTATTTAAATTTAGGAATGTAACATACATCCTACCTTTTTGCTGCACAGGAAGTGTTAAGGAATCGATCAATGCAAAATAATCCCAAGACTGTCATTGTAGGCTTAACTTAATCAAGTAACTCGTAAAGCATGAAAGATTTAGAATCATAACTGTTCCTAATAATGAAACCTTGCCTGAACTACAAACAAGTTCTAATATCTCATAGCTTACAAAACTGGTTAGGAAAACAAGAGACTGAAAACGTTTGGACTTTTATTCATAACTGATTGCAAAGAATGCAACGTCAGTCAGCGATTTTAGACTCAAATTACATGGAAACAATAACCATTTCGGTATTGTGACTTGGAGAAATTAGTAATATTACTGACATTGAAAATTGGAAACACAAGGTTAGCTGTAATAACGCCAATACACTATCAACCCGCAACCATTTATCCATTAAATCCCTTACCAATGCTACGAAATATTATATGTATAATCTCTTCTCCACCAAAATAAAAAAACAAAATTTAGCAGAATAGATTGCCAATAATCAAATTTCTGGTTACCGGACCAGTGCCAATTACATAATCATGTAATTGAAAAAGACCCTAATAGAGTATGAGAACATATTAGTAGATTCAAGAGAAAATTAAAGAATCCTGAGCAGTAGAATTTGGTTGCTGAGCCAGTGAAGGCCCATCTTGTGGGAGGAAAACATGGTTTAGGAAAACATAAAACAAAAAATTGGAAGCAGATGTTTACCATGTAGCAACAATTTCACCTAATGGCATGCTCTCTAGTGTATATTGTATGCATGTAAATAAACATCAGCCTACTACCCTTTCAACATTTTACATAAGAAACTTTGGATCATATTGTCCTCTCAAAACTAGAATAACAGTAACTACGCTACTTCAAAATATATAATGACATGAAGAAGATCAAACAAGTAACAGGGTAAAGAAAAAATTTTAACACTCAATAATGGAAAATGTGGAAGAGATAAACGGTATTGGTACCTGAACTGAGCAAGCAAGACCAACACAGCCTCAAATATCTGAATTTTGATTTGTGGGTTGTTGATGATGCTTGGAGAGAAGAGTGAAGTATGGATGCTGATTTATAAATGGGTTTTAAAAAGGAAAGCAAATGCATCAAGAAAAAGTAGAAGAAGATGATTTGGGGTTAGAAACAGTGGAAAGTCAGATTTTTTATTTTTATTTTTATTTTTTTTTATTTCACTTATTATTATTATTATTATTATTTCAATATTTCTTATCGAGATCGAATCAGGCTATTTGGTATACGAGAAGAAACACACCCAAATATATACAGTATATATATTTACACACACACGTGCTGGTCCCAATTATTTTTGGACTTCTAAGACTTCAGTCTTTGTAATTTACTTTTTGAATATATATAATTTGCTTGAATTTTCAAAAAATAAATAAATAAATAAAAATTTAAGGGTAATATTGTTTTTCCCTCATCATTAAAATTGATGAATAAGACAATATTTTTGGATATACGTGTATATGCCCCCGCGCATCTAGAAGGAAGTCTTCTTACATAATTTTGAATCCAAAATGTGGAATAACACTAAGATACTTCACTTGCCCTTTAAGGTCTCTCTATTGTTAAAGTATGCCATGGATGGTTATTAGTACAACAACAATCAAAAGTGAAAGTGTTCAGACAGCCAAAAGGTTTAAAAGCAACACAGCCTCAAATTTCTCAATATTAATTCTTTTATGATTAATTAATAAAAATAAAATAGTACTAATTGAGTTTCTTATCAAATATAGTTATTCACTTTCTGTTTTTTTTAATGTTAATTTTTCATTTTTCTTTTATTAATAAGCTAACAAAATAGTAATAAATATAAGAATGGGGACAGCAATAGGGAAGGAGCCCATCCAAAAACCTGCCATGTTGTCATTCTTAATGGCTAAGTCTATGCACGTGTCGCTCTTCATTACTATAGTTATTAGTACAACCAAAAGTAAAAGTACTCAAAAGAAAAGGACCGAAAAAAAAAAGGTGGGAAAGAAATTCAAAAAGCTCAACTTAATTTTCAACATGACTTAATAAAACGCTTGTTATAAAGAAAATTAAATAATATATATATATATATATATATATTTGTGTGGAGAAAATCACTTTAGAGTCTAACGATTTCACATTTTGATTTAGAAAATAATGGACGGTATAGTTGAGAAAAAGACAAAGACGAAACTAACCTCTAAGGATCATATTTAATTTAATATATAATGTTAAAATGAGTGAATTTTTGAAGATTTACTTCAAAAATATAATATTGTTAGTGCAATTGATGCTTGGGTCTAACTTAAAACCATCAAGCCATTTGAATAAGACCACGGTTCTACTTCAATAAGCCATTATTTTTTTATTTTTAATATTGTTTTCACATTTTCTGGCTCGTTGGATTCGTGAGCGTGCAGGACCAGACTCGTGTAAATAACACACTTCACATTCTTGGGTCGGCCATGCCAAAATAACAATCATCTACTATTTTTTTTTTTCAATTCCAATTTTTATGTTACCTGATAGGCATTCAAGGGGGAAAGGTATGATCCATCTCAATCAATTCATTCACATGATAGAAAGGCTGTCTCAGAAAAAGTTTGAAAACGTATATATATTTTAAAAGAAAATTTCTCATAAACACGTCTTTGATACCAATCTAAAACACCCATTTCGATTAAAAAGCTTAACTTGTTAAAAAATGAATCTAATAATGTATTATCAAATTCTTACAAAACGTGCATATAGTACCAATCCATAGTACTCATTAGTAGTACTATTAACAAAATTTTGTTCAAGGTTTTTGCAGTAAATTTCAGCAGCACTCCGAGGCTATAGCAGCATGTCCTTGTTCACACCCTGCAAATGTTTATTATCAAGATTCTCAATACTTTAGTATAACTTGTTCAGGCAACCAATCTCCCATTTCGATGCTACTTCAAGGGTGAGTCTAATAATGGTTCCAATAGGAATTGTAATGAAGCTCAAGAGAACATCCACGAAGCGCATCACATAGACAGCTATGTGGTTGACGGATATATATTGGCAAAATTGAGCTAATATCCTGCATCAATTATCATATAGCATTTATGTTAGATGTTTCATAAAACTTGGAATTTATTTATATGGTGGGTCACCAATCTGCATATTAATTTCTATATGAGCGAGAGGACTAAACTGTAGCAATTGAATTTCTATGATGAATGAACTATATGTTATAGAAACTAATAGATTGGTATTTAGTGGATCAAATCAGGTGTGTTCTTTTCTCAAATACAGAAGTTCGATATGTAATAAACACAAAACATATCTTTTACCTATATCGATATAAGATCCTTAATTTTCAAAGTAATTCTATGTCCACATATAGAATTAATATCCTCTTTCCCTACACCAAAATACTTCCCAAAAAATTTGGACACCACACTACCCATCAACGGATGTAAAATATTTTTCAGAATATATATATATATATATATATATTGGTGTTTGGTTACCGTAAAATATCTTGAAAAAAAAATATTAAAACATAACAAAAATGACTTCCCATCAATTTTAGGCACGCTATTTTCCCCTGATGGACTTAACCTACACCTTTTGCCAAAGACAGAAAAAACAAAAATAAAAAAAATATATATTTTACCTAAAAAAGAAAAATATTTTAAGTCAAAACTAACATAAAGGAGATGCAATTATCTATTAAATCCCCAGCCAATTCTACTAAAAAGTTAAAATAAAAAATCTTCTCCTCTAATTACAATCAAGGGTTTCAACTATCTTTCTCTTCTCTACAGTCATGCGACCAAAAAAAAAAAAAAAACCATATAACCTTACTACACTACCTCTACCTCAAAAAAAAATTCAAAATATATAATACACGAGGATTGAACATGAAGAAGTTCAAAGAAGTAATGTGGTGAACAAATTAATTTTAACACTGAAGAATTGAAGCAAGGGCGGATCCAGGATTTCTCAATGGGGTGGGCTAAATCAAAACATATCTAGGTCTAAGTATAAAGTTACAAATATATATATATATATATATATATACACGTAGTATCATATTAAATTAGTAAAATATGTTATAAATATATAATATTAATTATTGTCTCTGTCTATAACTTTGAGTGTATCAGAGCTTTCCATTTCACTGTTGTACACTTCCTAGATCCGATACATGAAACAAGCCAAAAGCTCACAACCCTATCGTTGGTTCACGGTTGTCGTACACTTTTGTACTCCCAACCATATATCTTTCTCTCCACAAGTCCATATCTATAGAAATCTCCCATGCCAATATTAGTCAAGACGCTTAGAGAGCTTATTTTGTCCTAAGTTGGGTAATTCTTATTGGTGGACTCTCTCTTCTTTGTTGTTTCAGTTTCAACATTTCAGAAACTTTGTCAATGCTCACAAACTGATAAAGTTAAATTAAAATTGCATAGAGTCTTCTTTTTCTTTTTTACAGATAAATTAGGATTTAGAGAGATGAAAAAGGAGCACAAGTAGATAAATCATATTACACACCATTGTTTCAGAATTTGAGAACTGAAAAATCGTGTGAAGTGACCAAATATTCTTGTAACTAAAAGAATTAGACACTATGCTCAATAATATGTCTTCAACTCTAAATTTCCTTCAATTCTAAGTGCTTTGACTTAATTTAAGTGCATCAACAAATTATCAACTTCATCAGTCGTCATCGCTAGAGTCAACGTTGACATCAACATCCTCAAAACGTTGACATTAACATCCTCATCTAGAATCGTCATCTAGAATCACGTATTCCTCTTGCATAGTTATACATTTGATTAAGATAAACTGAAAAGAGACTTCTTATCATAATTGGTCATTTTAAAACCAACATTACTGCTACAACGGCAAGGGAATTTATATAATTCAATTAGCTAGGTAAAAAAAAAACATACCTATTTTCTTTTTCCCTGCTCCACCCATTCCCATCAATTCTCTTCTTTCAGAAAAGAGACCTATATTATTAGGACAAAAGAGGAAAAGTTTTAAAAGCAATAATAAACTAGTAAAACATATATTCTGAAATTGAAAACTAAACTTCCAAGTCCTTAATTCCCATTAATAAATTGTTCGAGCATCACATCATAACAATATTATATATATGTATGTAGAAACAAAAATAAAAACAAAAAATCAGTATGTAAAACATGAATAAATAAAAGTAACCAATACCTAAAAATGCCAATTAAAATTTTAGAAAAAGTAAGAGTTTGTTACCTGATGACTGAGGAGGTATGTTTCTTGAACCTTATCCTTGCTAAATGTTAAGGCCCGATGCTAACCCTAAAAAAAAGAAAAACTCAAGTTGTGAAGAAGATGTTTCACAATCTCACTCGTAACAATTAAAACACCAATATCTTAGTACTATCTGTATCATGTATCAACCCAACCTAACTATGCTTTAAGTCAAAATGTTGGACACCTATCTGTATAAATAGGTGTGATTATGGATAGGTGTGATTAACACATATTATACTCAGCTCTTATGTTAAATTAATCAAATAACAAAATACCAATGCATTAGTTTAGGAATAATCTTCAAAATTAACAAATCAATATCCTGATATTCTGCATTCTAATAACAAAAGAAAATCAAAAACCAAAATTTGAAAATAAAAATATGGCAGAAAGATTGAATATATCCTTCGTGCATTACACATATTGTATTTCTATATGAAACAAAACATCCAGAATTTCTCAAAGGGGTGGGCTAAATCAAAATATATCAACCAAAATCAACTGTTATTTAATTCAATTTTAGTTAACTAACAATGTTTCTTTAGACAATTGACTGATTAAGGCATAGAAATCCTATTTGGGTAATTAATAAAAAAAAAATTACCAATTTATTTCTGAACAATTCACCACTCAGTACCCTATCTCTTCTTTTGACCAATTTACTAATCCTATTTGAGAATCTACTAGTGGAAGCAGAGTGAGAGGTAGTTCATGGCAAGCCCCTTCCAACACTATGGAATTCACTCAAAAGCATGCTTTTTGTAAGTATTTTAATTTTCAAGAAGTAACTTTAGAGCTTTACCCTATATTAAGTACTTTTGCTTGTCAAAGTTCTTGTTATGATATTTTTTTTTTTTTTTTTTTTTTTTTTTTTTTTTTTTTTTTTTAAGTTCTGAAAAGATTTCCATCTTCAAAAAGCTTGGCATGTTGATAAAAATTGTTTCAGATTCAATCTCTGCAGATTTATAATCCAATTCAGATTCTTTTTTCATGCCCAGATTCAAATTTTCTTGTAGATATAATTGATAAATATATATATATATATATATATATATATATATATATATATATAAGTTACAGAAATAAATAAAAAATATTTGTTTTGAAAAATTAAAACAAAACCCATACATACAAGTTAGCAGTTGCAGAGAGAGAGAGGGGGCAAGCTTGAGAGTTGAGAGGCAGCGGCTGAAACTTGCGAACGGCGAACCCGAACTGGAACAGCGGGCTATGGAAACTGAAAGATATGGGTTTTGATTTTTTGAACAATCTGAAATGATATGCCGATATGGGTCTTGATATAGGTAATAGGTTTTGAACTTTTGATTCTTGTAGACAGATAGATAAACTGAAATATATGGTTTTTGAACTTCTCATTCTTCTAGATTTTGGCTGCAGATAGAGAGAGAAAGGGCAAGTTCAGAGTCGAGAACGAGAGTAGAGATGAGGCGATTGGGGAGGCTGAAATGATTTGCCCTAAAAATATTTTGTTTTTTTGGTGACCCATCATCCATGGGCCTATAAATTTTGAGATAGGCAACCGCCTTTGTCGCCTTGGGTCAGGACGGCCCTGGGCTTATTTGGCTTGGGCCTTTATTTTAGAATGGTGGCTGAGTTGACTTGGGTTTGTAGTGGGCTCAAGCCCACCAGAGCCCATACACCCGGCCTTGAATGGAAGAGATATGGTACCTGAACTGGCAAAGCAAGACCATAAACAGCTTCAAATATCTGATCACTAATTTGTGGGTTGTTGATGCTTTGAGAAGAAGTGAACTTTGGATGTTTTAAAAGGGAAAGCATTTGCATAAAGTAAAAGTAGCAGAAGATGATTGGGTGCTGGAAGGTGAGTGGAAAGTAATTGGTTACTTTTCCTCTGTTACTCTCACTCGACGCATACAAGAAGGAAAAGAAAGAAAACATACTCTAATGGGTAAATATGTAAAAAATATCCCGCAAATTACTGTTAAAAAAAATCCTATATTTTTTAAATTGAAAAAATAAGAAAAATTCTTCTATTTGGAGACTAAAATCCTTAAAATGCCCTTAAAAAAAATTAAAAATAAGGGCATTTTTTAAAAAAATTATAAAACCCAAAAATATTAATTAGTAGTTTCAAGAAAAAATTAAAGAATTCGGGGCAGTAGAATTTTGCTACCAAAGGGCTCTTGATTGCTGAACTAGTCAAGGCCCATCTTGTGAGATGAAAATTTGGTTTAGGTCCTTTAGGAAAACAAACAGATACATAAAAGATGTGGGAGCAGAAAATCCTAAACCCTAAACAGAAAACAAACAGAGACAGAAAACCCACACAGACAGAAAACAAAAAATTGGAAGCAAAAAAAAATACCATGTAGCAACAATTTCATCTAATGGCATTACATAAGAACTATATAAGGGGATCTTTGGACCACATTGTCCTCAAAACTAGAACAACAAAAATTTTATAGACTCGATCAAGAATGAAAGAGATGGATGATGGTACGTACCTGAACTGAGCAAGCAACACATACAGACACAGCCTCAAATGTCTGAATATTAATTTGTGGGTGGTTGATTATGCAGTGACGATGGGTCGATTTAGGTCAATTATCCTTGCACCGGAATGAGTCACGGCTTAGACATGAGTAGTCTACAAACCCTAGATTAGGAATGTGTTTGCTAGGTGATGGGCTGGGCCCTGTGGTGTTATTCACGTTTTGATTGTTGGTCTCTTTGCTTATTGGACCGTCTACAATTCGTTGGCTGCGTCCTTGTTTGGGATTGTCCTTGCATACTGTATTTCTTGATAGAGCTATAATAATAATAATAATAATAATGATGATGATGTTTGAAAGCAATCCCATATTGAGAGTAATTTGGCTCCAACTGGCTGAAGGCAACCTTAATTAAGAAATTTTTTACCCACATTTGATGTCCTGAGTTTTTCAATTATAAAAATAAAAATAATTTTTTTAATCAAATGTGATCATCTTTTATCCTAAAATGTGAGTAGGGATGGCAATGGGGTCGGGTTTGGGCAGGTGTACCCTCCCCTGCCTCCGCAACCGTTTAAAAATCCCGTCCCCGTTCCCGCACAAAACTGCAAAAACGGGAGAACTTTCGATCCCATCTCCGTAATCGTTTAATATTTTTACCCTCGCAGATTTTCGCCCTGCCCTGTTTAAGACCATAATTTATTTATTGTTGAAATAGATTTGCTCCTTTTTTTTTTTTTTTTCACCGTTGAAACTTTCCTTTTAATCAAATTCATTTGTTACTTTAATATTGTTATATGGGGTACTAAATATATAACGGTAAATATATATACTAATGAAATAAGGGTACTTATGTAATTTGTCTATCTAAAAGGGGCGGACGACCTCCCCCCGCCCCCGCACCAAACCTGCGCGGGTTTTTATTACATCAAACCATCACCACCCAAATAAGCAAAACGGTCCCCCAAAATCGCCAAAAATGGGGCAGGACGGGACAGGTAATTGCGAGGGCGGGTCAAATTGCCATCCCTAAATGTGAGTGGTGAGATTTTACCTACAACAATAACTTGTCTAGTTGCAACTCATAAATGCTTTTTCAAAGTGAAAAAGTAAATGGACTGGGAAAAAAGATTGATAAAATGAAATCAGGTAATATTTATGAATGTATGGCAGTAACTTATTTATTTATGATTATTATTTTTTATGTATTTTATTAAGAAACATTAAAAATTGAGGACAACATTGTAGACACCACAACTGTTAGCTACTAAATCGGGAGTCATCTTATCTAGCATTGCTCATTAATTAATCAGTCTATTTTTTTTAAAAAAAAATTTAATAGCCCAACTTTTGCAATAATATCTAACACTCCATTTTTCATTAATGAGAATGTTGTTAAAGTATCAATTGTCCCAAATGTTTAAACAACATGTGATCAAAACAAAGCAGCATAGCTTAATTACAACTGATATTTGAGTCTATAGTTGATAACAAATATGAACACTGAAATAAAAAAAGCACTTGACATAAATGCCACAAAGGTAAAAGATGGAGACCAAGTTCACTCATTACAGGAGTTTCGTAGATTTTCTTCTTCATTTATGCATTAATTGTATGAATCCTCTTTGAGTTTTTGCTTTGATTGATCCTCACATATGAAAACGTCAGTGAGAGCAGTTTTCGACACCAAAGCAACCTCCAATAGACGCAAAGCCTGCAACAGTTCGAAATGCGCATATGAATGGATCATTAGGAAACTAGTAAATGTAACTACTAATGTGAAGTAAAACTGATAAACATAGCATACTCAACATCCAACCTACTAAATTGTGAATTTCTGTGTCATTAACAGAGTGATGAACCAACACCTCTCAAAAATCAAAATTGCAGTCCATGTTAGACAACCATTTGTTCCAAAAATATTTAAGCTCTTAGCAGGAACAACTATGTATTAAAAGTTCTCCACATATCTTCACAAGTATAATGAATTATCAGTTTAAGGCCACATGATGACCTAGTAGTGTGAGTCAATATATAGGCTGTAAAGTCCTTTCTTCTCTTATGCTTCTATCGGTAGCTCCAAACTTGCTTAGCAGGGTTAAGCCTGTGATAGTTGACATGGGCTTTACATGAAAGTCATCAGTTATGATAAATCTTGTTGTAGGTTTCACAAACACCCCTTTATCTTGATGTACAGAGATACTACTATCATTCAGGTTCCAAGCGTAATACATTAAATTTCCACATTGTTGGCAGCGCGAATTGGGGTAAGGACTGACAATGTGATACCCACCGCAGGTATAGTACTCATTTGTATCGCTATCAATCACATTCAATTTTAGATTCCTGCAGTAGATTTCAGCTGCACTTGGAGGATGAAGTAACATGTCCTTGCACTTCATACTTCGTAGATGTTCCTCGTCAAGATTCTCCACACTTTGATATAAGTTGTTCAAACAACCAAAGTCCACTTCTAGTGAGTATTGGCGGGCGAGTTTAATAATGATTCCAATAGGCATAGTCATGAAGCTAAAGAGAACATCGACAAAATCCTTATTGGACTCGGCAAAAACAACTTGATTTTTCTCTTTTTCCACTAGCACCTTCAGACTTAGACTTTGTAAAGAATTGCTCGCCATCATTTGAAAATGAAAAAGAAAAAAGAAGTTTCAGCTTATATTTTAATGAATGTAACCTGCATCAAAGTTTCATAAGACATTAGACTTCGATATCCTCTTCCCCTAAACCCTGCCTTTCTGGTGCAGGGAAAGTGTTGAGAAATCATTCAATCAAAATAATTCCTAGACCGTCTTTGTGCGTTTAACTTAATCAAGTAACTCTTAAAGCATGAAAGGCATAGAATTATACCCGTCCTGAATAATCAAACCTTTACTATTGAACTATAAACATGTTCTATGATCTCACAGTTTACAAATTAAGCTGGTTAGGGAAACACATGAGACTGAAACATGTTCTATGATCTCACAGTTCACAAAGCATGCACATCAGTCATGGTGTTATACTTGACTAATCACAGTGATTTTAGACTCAAATTACATAGAAATTAAAACCATTTTTGCACTGTGACTTGGTGAAATTAGTAACATTAGTGACATTAAAATTGATACGTAAGGTATGTAATGTTGTAATACCAAATAGAATATATATATAGAATATTGGTGACAAATTTAATAATTACAAATCAGAAAATGGATCTAAAACAGCAAAATCAATTTCTCACCTTTGCTTAGTAGGGTTTCAAAATTCTTTAATTGGCGGGGCCAGTGCTACAAATTTACCAAGGAAAAGTCTTCAATTGTTTTTTAATTTGTCCTTCAAAGACTGCTCAAAATGTTGGACGACTTTGGGTCTTCGGGGACATATCAAATCAGCTAGCTAGCTTCCCTGTCTCATATAGAAATATCAATTTAATGACATATTTTTTACTTCAAGTGAGAAATTGATTTCTCACCTTTGCTTAGTAGGGTTTCAAAAGTCTTTAATTGGAAGACGTTTAGATATCGTTAGAATAAAAAGCAGGTTCCTTAATTGGAAGAGTTTTTGTCATCTTAATACCCACTCCTGCATTATATAGACGTGTTTTTTTTTAATAGAAATTAAAACCATTTTTGCACTGTGACTTGGTGAAATTAGTAACATTAGTGACATTGAAAATTGATACGTAAGGTATGTAATGTTGTAAATTATCTGTTACGTTTTTTTTTTTTTTTTTCAAATCCCTTTGATTTCCTTAAAAAAAGTTAAAATTTTCTTCTCTAATCAAACTCCAATTTTTTTCCAATCAAAGATTTCGTTTTTCTTTCCTTTTTTTTTTATTATTATTTTTTTTCTTTTATACTTTCTAAAAATCTTCTTTTTGCTACTTGATTTGAACAACCTATTTTTGTCATGTTAATTTTTTATTTTATTTTTTACACTATGTCCCCTAAGTTGAAATCGCAGACAAATCCTTTCCCCTGAATTTTGTGTAGCTGTTGTTAAACCGAATACTTTATGAAATGGGCGGAGTAACAGAAAATAGAGCCAGGAAAGCTATTCCAATAGCGGCGTTCTTGGGAATGAAAAAAAAAAAAAAAAAGCTAACAGGTATGAGAACATAGTAGTAGAAACAAAATTTACCAGAACAGAATAGGTCCATCTTGTGAGAGGGAAAATATGGTTTAGGTCCTTTAGGAAAACAAACGCAAACAGAAAACAAAAAATTGGAAGCAAAAAAAATTACCATGTAGCAACAATTTCATCTAATAACATTACATAAGAACTATATAAGGCGACCGTTTGGATCACATCGTCCTCAAAACTAGAAAAACAAAAATTTTATAGACTGGATCAAGAATGAAAGAGATCGATGAGAGCTTACCATTTACCCAAAAAAAAAAGAGATCGATGATGGTACGTACCTGAACTGAGCAGCCTCAAATGTCTGAATATTAATTTGTGGGTTGTTAGATCATGGGGGAAAAAGTGAATTATAAATGATTTATAAATGGGTTTGAAATGGAAAAACATTTACATAAAGTAAAGTAGCCGAAGATGATGGGGTGTTGGGTACGTGTTAGAAGGAGAGTGGCAACAATAAAGTTATCATTTCTTTTCCTTTTCGTTTTTTTATTATTAATCAGTATCATCCTTTTTTTTTTTTTAAACTTAACTGATCATTTCTTCTTTGTTCAGCTCAATCAAAAATCATGAATGATACATTTACAAAGAGAGCATGATTTTACCCAAAAAAAAAAAAAAAATTCCTATCTTTTCAAACAAGTTTGTAAGTTTAATACATATTTTTTTTCTCTTATTAATTAACCAAGTTAATAGTGCAATTTTATTATTTTTTTTTTCTCATAATTAATATTATAATTTTTTATTTTTTATTTTTTCTCCTCTAATATTCAATTGTGTACTTAGAAAAAACAAAGGACAACTAGTGATAACCTTTCATCAGGATTAAAAAAAAATGATAAATATTCTGAAAGCGCGAATAATGGTAACCTTTCATTAATCCTTTACTTGCCCTTTAAGGTCTCTATTATTAAAGTATGCTGTGGATAATTGTTCAATCAAAAGTCGAAGTGTTCAAAAGAAGATTTAACAGCAAGACATGTGTTGTTTTCTACTTAGACTCAAGGACACCTTTTTTCTAAAAAGAAAATTAGATGAATTGACCCACGCAGACTAACACACCCTCAAATATATGAACACAGTGAAGGACCTAAGAATTTTAGTTGGGAGGCGTTGTTGGAGAATAAAAATAAGGGTTAAATGCAAAAAAAAAACACTTCCTGAATTATTGGCATAGTTGTAACTAATTTCCCTTAATTATAGAAGTTGCCGCTAACTTTTTGGATTATTCAATTTTGTTGCAGATGACTCCATTCGGCAGGAATCCGGCAGGTTTTAGCCGTTAAAAATAATTAATTTATTTTAAAAGACCATATTGCCCTTATACGTAATACGCATAAAAGGACTAAAATGCCCTTAATTTCCATAGACCCCATAACATACCCAAACACACCCTACAACTGTTCACCATCTTCAATAGGCATACCCAAACACGCCCTATAACCGTTCACCATTTTCAACAGTCGGCTTTCGTGGTCAACATCGACAAACTCATCTTCCACACCGAAAGCCGTTTAACCCAAACCACACTAAAATCCCACTACCATCACCATCCGAAACAATTGAACCACAATTTTAAGAAATTCAAATAATTCATAGTGAACCAGTCCAGCCACAACCATCACCGCCGTAGCCACAAACGTTTCTCAAATAATTTCCCAATTGAATCAATTTAAATACAGTAATTCATACTGAAACACCCAAGCTCAATCGACACACACACACACACACACACGAGTTGTCACTAGTAATCACCCCAAATCAATTGCACCATGAGTCGTCATTCGTGGCTGCTCCACTACCACCACCAGCATCCGAAGGCAAGCTCGCCGCTGCCATCACGCCGCGAAGCACCTCATCGCGGCTAAGTCCTCTCCACAAACCGTCGCCCACCACTGTGAAAGCTCGTCGTCACCGTCTCGCCCCCATCCGAGCACGGCTGAAGTTCATCCACAGCCCATCTTGCCCGTTGTTCTGTCAATCACCGGCGCGCACAAGCCACTGTCGCCAACGCCGGATCCGTCGCCGTTATGCCATTCTCTGATTTGCGTCGGAATCGCGACTTCTCTAGTTGCTGTTCTGCACCGTCGAGCTCTCTACCCGTCGAAATCTCCACAACCGTGCTCTACACCGTCGAGCTCTCTCTCGCTCGCCGGCTGCCATCACCTTCACCCCTCTCTCTCTCTCTCTCTCGGCGGCTGCTATGATGATCGATGCTCTATTCCACATCCACGGTTGACGAATTACAAAGAGATCTCCACCGGTGCTACTGCCAATTCTTCCATTTCTGCAGTGTATGTGGCTTAGGGTTTGGTTGTATTGAGATTATAACAAACTTGGAAGGGCAGTTTCATCTTTTTTTCTTTTTCGGTGGCCTGAGTAGGCAAATTGCAACAAATTCATAGTTCAAGGGTTTTTTTTGTAGTTCAGGGGGGTTAGTTGCAAACCCTATAGTTCAGGGAGGTTTTTTGCATTTAACCCTAAAAATAATAATAATAATTGAAGGAAAATATATTAGAAATAAAATAATAAATATAAGAATTTAATTTTTTATGATTTGTCCAACACTTGTGAAGCCGTGTCTAACATGTGTCGATGTTAGATCCAAATTCTTTGACCTTTTAGCTGTGTTCGTGCTTCCAAGCTTATCATTAATGTGTAGGGTAGAGAATGAAGAAACAATTGAGACGATTTACTTAACTTTTTTTTTTGTTTAAAAAATTATGTGGACTTTTCAAAAAGAATTTTTTTTTTTTATGTTGATGCAAGAATATATTGTGGGGTATTTTCAAAAATTGGTTGGGAATGCGGTAGAGAGTGAAAAAGAAACGATTATCATTTGAATCAATATAAATTAGTGGAAGAAAGAATGTGAAGTGGAGTATTTTTTTAAATTGAGTGGAGACATTTCTAAATATTTTATAAAATATATAAGTAATAATATAAATAATAAAAAATTCGGTGGGGGCGGATGCCCCCACTGGGCCATATCCGTGCATGTCTGAACATTAATCTTGTATAGTTAATTAATAGAAGAAAATAATAGTGTTATTTTATTAAAAGAAAACTTAATCATTAAGTTTTGGAAATATATATATATATATATATATATATATATATATATATATATATCCATTTTATTAAATTTATTATTATAACCTTTTATATTTAATCCTACAAAACCCATGCGGTTTTAAGCAGGGACCAAGAAAGGTACCCACATCTGCCCTATCCATCACCTGTTTATGTTGCGAAATTACTATGATACTCCTACACTTTATGAAAAAATATACTAAAATGTATTAATTGAGTTTCTTATCCAACGTAGTTATTAACTTTCGTGATCGTCTTATGTTATTGTTGACGCTAAAATCGGCTTTATGGAGCCGATCTCAATTTGATGTAAGCCGGGCGTGCCAGAACCACTTATGTGATTCGATTGTAAATAGTTAACGTTAGTCCCTTTGAGAAAGTTGACTTTCAGACGATGCGAGGAAAAAGAGAACAAATAAATTCCTCTTTTGGATTCAAAAATGCCTTAGTTAAAAGGACTTTCCGTAAGCAATTTATAGTAACGTAACAAGAGAATAGAAAGGGGAAGAAAATAGATATAGCAAGAAGAGAAAGGGAAAGAATGAGAATAAAGGGAGAGAGATCGAGAGATTTGAGATAGAGAGACAAATAGAAAGATAGAAGAAATAGCAAGGATACTATTCTTGGAAAAGCTTGAGAAAGCAAACAAATAATAATAATGATTCTGAGGGTGCTGGACCCCTTGCACAGCATGCCTCTTTGTTTATTTATAGAGTAAACAATAAAACAAAAATCCTAGATACATGTATTCTAGTTGTATTCCAATACATTTAAATAATTGTTCAAATCTAACTAATCCTAACTAAATACTAACTCTTATCTTTACTTGAAATTCCTGCCATGTCATTCAACCAACAACCCATGTAACGCATGAAACCCAACATTCTCCTAACTGTATCAGACCACCCCAAACGAAGACTAAATCAATGGTTCGCCAAAATATCTTATAGCCCACTCTCATTGTTGCATGTTTCGGCCCATTACTTTCTCGGCCCAATCTTTCAGCACATCATTGCTTCACAGGTTTTCACTCTTGGCCCATACTACTACTTATTTCACTGTTCATCAAATCTAATTAGGGCCAAAACCCAATTACCAAAATGGGTGCTGAGGATATTCGGATTTATGGATTCATGATTGGGCCGAAGATGGGTCCATAACCCAAATGCCAAAATGGGTGTCAACAATGCCCCCCAATTTTGGTAGCCGTTTTAACTTTTCGGCTTCCAAAATTCAAATACACCCATTACATCGTAACTTTATATACATCTTATAATCCTATCAGCTTTATCTTGATTCACTTCTCAAGACAAATCGATTATGATAACACATCTTATCATCATTAATTATCGCAGTAAACCCAACCTTTCAACCACACACGGCTCTTCGCTAAACCACCTCTCTTTGCAGACTCTTTTTTCCATCACCCTTCTTTCTTCTCCAAACTTCTCTGCGTCTAACCCTTTTCTGCAAAATGACTTCAAAACAACTGAAACAAAGTGATCTGAACTTGGAAAACCCTTTTCCATAAGCAACATCGCACACATAACTAACAAAATCCACGATCAAAACCCTAGATCAGAGCGAAATGGATTCCAACTCATTGATCGACATCTCTGAAAAAGCTAAGGGACTTGGCCCAGCGTTTCCTAATTGATTCATCCCTTCATTGTCTCCAATTTATCCACAAGCTGAACCACACCTTCCTTTCTCCAAAACTCTCTACCTAACAATGGAAAGAGACCGTCCAACTCTCTCCGTCAGAAATTGGCACCCAACGATGCCCAAATGGAACGATTGGGTGGACCATGTATCAGCAGCAAAAGAAGAACAGTGGAAAAGGATGGGTATCTTTGACCTCATCCAGCTTAGTAAGATTTCCTTTTCCTTTGACCGAGCATTATTTTTTACCTTTTTGCACTTTTGGTCCCCTACAACTAATTCACTTCACTTGCACTGTGGTATGATGGCCCCTACATTGAGGGACGTTTGTTTTATAATGGGTTTAAAGCTTGGAGGAGATGAAATCAGTTATCTCCTTCAGGATGAGGAAACCTCCTTTTACTTTCTAGAACAAAAAGGGGCTAAACCCTTTATGCAATCACATGGACCATTCTTGAAAGAAATGTTAGGAGCAGAAGGGACTGAAGTAGATGAACAAGAACATATAGGATTTTTACTTTTATGGTTGTGTAGGTATTTGTTGTGTGCTCCTGCTATCCAAATTACTAAGGACTTTACCCAATTGGCTATCGCTTTATCCAAAGGGAAACCCATGGCCTTAGCTCCATTTCTGTTAGTGTCCTTGTATAGAGGCTTATTAGATCTTATTACTTCCAACTTTGCAAGATCTGGAGGCCCATTCTGGCTATACTAGTTCTGGCTGAATGCTTATTTCCCTGAGTTATCCTCCCCCATTCTACTTGCTCCAAACGATCCTTTGCTGTCATTCGGATATGCTAGAGTCAAACCCAAAGACCACTCCTTCAATGACTGTTTTCAGTTTTTCTATCACCAATGCAAGATCAGGACTCAATCCCAATTCTGTCCTTTTTCCAAATGTCAACTAGCTCCATCCTGGTTGTTTCCTCCTACTACTGAGTCTTTAGCGGAACATATTG